ACACGAGAGGTTTTATAGCGGAATAGGAAGGGCCTAATCAAAAGGCGCACAAAACAACTTTTTTTAAATGTGTAATACCCAAAGGAAATAAAATATTGACTGATTTCTTATGTAAATGACACTTTGTGGAATGGAAGGAAGATGTTCGATAGTATCAGTGCAATCAGCCAAATTTTGCAAAAGAAAACACAAAAAAACAGAGAAGTGTTTATCAAGAAAGTACATACTTTCATACACCAAAGGTTCTTCATCATCATCGATCTCTGCTTCCATATCATCCTTTAACTGCTCGATCCGCTCCAGTTCCCATTCAGTTTCCTCAATCTGAGCTTGGGATTCAACTGCAGCCTTGTCTATAATTGGGTCCCATAACTCGAGAAAACGTATTGCATATCGATCTATTGGACGTAGTTGATTCTCGAAAGACAAGATTGCTTGTCCTGCTGCAGCTGCAGCTGCAGCCATCTGTTTGACGTCAGCCATATCAACATCATCCTCTTGACTATGAACAGCAAGGGATCTTTCCTCAACTGTATGACTTCCACTCACCACATTGCCTTGATCTGACTTTGCGTTCAATACAGTGTGTTCAGCAGAACCATCAGGCTTCATTTCCTCTTCATTGGCAAGCTCATCATCCTCCAACTTTCCAACTGCTTCTTCAGTGAACTCTTGATTATCCACAGCCTCTTCCTCTTCAACTTTCTTCAATGCCATGTAGTCTGCCTCATCTTCAGCATTCTTTAAAGCTGCATCCAGATCCACACTAGACAAAGTGACATCACCACTGTTGTTGGATGCTTTCTCTGTTTGTGCATCTTTTTGAGAAACTCTTCTCTGGCCTGAAAATAATTCCATTGGATCCAGTTTCTTAAAGAATTCGGTGTTGTAGCTGCCACCCTGTATAACCAAATCATCAAGAGCTCGCTTCTGGTTAGCCTTCTTCAAAATATTCTCTTCAATTGTGCTATCACTGATCAACCGATATATGTTCACTTCACGTGTCTGACCTATCCTGTGACACCTATCTTGTGCCTGTTGATCCATGGCTGGATTCCAGTCACTATCATAGAAGATTACAGTATCTGCCCCAACTAGATTGACACCAACACCTCCACTGCGTGTTGACAAAATAAAAAGAAATATTTTTGGATTGGTATTAAACCGCTGCATTAGCGTTTGCCTCTCTTCGGGCTGAGTGGAACCATCCAGGCGCATGTAAGTGTAACCGTACAAATTAATAAATGCCTCCAAAATATCAAGCATCTTTGTCATTTGGGTGAATATTAGAGCTCTGTGACCCTCTGACTTCAGCCGCCTGAGCAAAATGGCAAGCTCCTGCAGCTTACCACAGTCAAACTGAATAAGTCTCCTATCTGGAAAGTAAACTTGCCTTCGAACAATAGCAGGGCGAAATGGAGTAAGAAAAGGGGAGAAAACTTGAGACCATCTGTCTGTAGATGTCTGGTGAATAAACACAGATGATCCACCTTTACTGCACCAGCAAACTGGGGGAGGTGCACGTGCTGCGGGTATCGCAAACATGAAACTTTCTACCTGATCAACCATCTTTCTGAATCTTTCAACCGGTGACAGCACAATCTCAGCAAGCTTGGATGAGTACTGATAAGACGAAGGATTATTTTTGTAACCAAAAATATCATCGACCGGATGTTTGATACTGACGAGCTCACGAAGGCCAGTCGCGTACATGGGTTTTCTCTTGCACCTTAAGGAATTCCACCATGCAAAAGCTGATGCCCGCTCCTTCGCTTCTTTCAATCTCTCATCCATTAGTGCCTTTTGGATCTCTTCGAAGATACTTGTCGAATGCATCTTTTTCTTATGTTTGAGTCCAAAACAATTTGCCTCCAAATTAACCAGGTTTACTCGCTGTTCAATTAAACTTGAAGATGTAGCAATAGCTTGAGTTTCTTCACTCTCCCAAGATGTCATGGAGAAATCCAGATGGGTGAACACTAAGCCCAAGCCACTAAGGTCAACAGATGAAAATGGCCCAGCTGCAAGCATTGAGCAAACAGAAGAACTCAATTGCATGTTCATACCACTCATATCAAGTGAACTAACAATTGGCCGGCCTTCAAATAAATCAGGATGATTGCAGACTTTGCGAAGTTGCATAATGACACTAATCATTCCAAAAAAATTAGAACTAGCTAGAGTAGCTTGAGTCTCAGAGCTAGCAATGAAGTCCTCATATAAATTGCGCTGCCTCCTTGAGAGCCTACAGTAGATAACATGTTCATGCTTCAATGGAAGCTGCTTCTCGACATCTCTTTTAAGTCGGCGGAGTAAGAAAGGACGGAGAACATTATGCAGCCGATCAACTACTTCTTTGTTCACTTTCTCCTGTCCCTCTACCATCCCAGATATAGGATTACTGAACCAGTCCTTAAATTCTTGGTGAGACTGAAAAATATGTGGCATCAAAAAATGCATCAGGGACCAAAGTTCCATTAGATCATTCTGCAGTGGTGTACCAGTTAGGAGAATACGCCTTTTGGAGTTAAAATTAAGCAGTGTTTGCCACCTTTGAGACTTCCAATTCTTTATCAGATGAGCTTCATCCAGAATCAAGTACTTCCACTTCTTCCGCTTGAAAACTTTAGAATCCTGGATAACAAGTCTATAGGTTGTTATGCAAACATGAAATGAATTAGGTTTCAACCATCCTTGCCTCTTTATTTTCCGCTCTTTTGCACTCCCAAAGTAAGTCAGTATTTTGAAGGCAGGACACCATTTAAGAAACTCAGTTTCCCAATTGAGCATGACACTAGTTGGGACAACGATAAGATGTGGACCCCATATCCCTCTTTCACAAGCGAGATGTGCAAGAAGAGCAATTGTCATAATTGTCTTCCCCAACCCCATCTCATCAGCAAGGATTCCGTTAAGTCTGTTCTCATACATGGTCACAAGCCAATCCAAGCCAATGTGTTGATACTCACGCAGAGGATACTTTAGAAGAAAGGGAAACTTTGTTCGTACTTTGGTTGTTGAGAATGTATTACCAGTCGGTTGTGCCAATCTGGCTGCAGCTGCTGCATCAGCAATAATATCTTCACTTTGCAAATCTTTTCCAGGTGATCGTACACACTCAGCTTCATCTTCTTCCGGGTGGAGGCATATGTCCAGGTGGAATCCATTAGATTCATCATCAGGCTGCTTATGTTCAGAGTTCCCCTGTTCTGCTGAATCCACAACATCCTGAGTTTCAGAAGCAGACGAGGATTCAGAGTCATCTTCAACATCTTGATCACTGTCACAACCCTGATTAGTAGGCAAGAGAATCAGTATCTAATGTAAACTGTATGGAAACAAGTTAAAGCACTGGTCAACCTACCTTTTGATACCTTGCAAGCAGCTCCTCTATTGGAACTTCACTTTCCTTCTGCAGAAGTGCAATCTGCAACAGTTTATGATTGTCATCTAAAATGAATTCAATATCATGTTGATCAGAACAATTAAAGAGCGTAAAAGATCAGGACCAAGTTATTAATTCATTATATAACCTCATCCAAGGAATTATTTGACTCTGCATTTGCTAATTCTTCCTCCTCTAAAAGAGTTGTCTCATCATCCTGGTTACCAAACGCAGGTGTCAATAAAAAGAGAGATTCAAACAAATCATAGATTGAATTCAACATATTGATTAACGAATCCATCCAAATACTCCTGAGAAGATAATGTAAATACTGATACTTGCAGCTAAAGGTGGGGGAGGTATACAGAATCACTAAACGTGTTTGCCAGTTTATTTGAAGGTAAGAGAATAGCATGGAATACAAAAAATGTTTACAGGAACGCAATGTAAAAGTACAGAGATTCTATATGCTTTAAGAAAAGAAAAAAAGGGAGTTCTTTGACAACACCATGAAAATATCCTAACCATCAAACAACAATAAAATGCTTACCATGTCGTATTCCTTTTCTTCTCCGGCAGAGAGTACAAAGTCAGCATCTTCCTATAAAGATTGAAGCAATTTCTTATAAGTATTCATCTAATCTAAATTTGACAAACGCATATAATAGAACATGCAATAGCCAGGAAAAGTTGAAAACTTAAAAATAATCTTAATATAAGAGATTTGAGTAACAACTTTTAAAAGCTTAGGATTAAGTAAAGCTGAGAGTTTAAAATAAACAAACCGATAAAGTTGACAGAATTAGAGTATCAAGAGAAGACATCTACCTATATCTAGGTAAGATACTAAATGCAAACTTTAATTGAATGAGCACATCAAATTGAAACTTATATTCATATTTCAAATACATGTTCTTACTTGTTCATCATTGATCTCATGCAACATATTTTTATTCTCTGACTCAAGAAGCTTCTTCAAAGAAATTCTCTTTTCCAGTTTATCAACCTCAGCACAATGGTTTTCTGACACAGATAAAACACCATTACTCTCAACCTGCGTGAACCAATCAAGGAATATTAAGTTGAGTATTAGACACTATTTCACAATTGTCGAGAGTAGACATAAAACACATACAACTTACACAACGACGACCAGGTTTTGCAGGTGGGCCCTCTTTCTCTACCTCATTGGCACATCCAGTATCTTCTCTTCCTGAATGAGATTGAATAAAAGTTAGAAGGGAGCTGAGCTTTAGCAACTAGATATAAAGAAAACTGTTAAGCACTTACCATTACACTCTTGAAGCTTGGTTCCTTCAGGTATATAATCGTCCTTGATGGGACTCTTTTCTTTGATAACTGAAAAAGAAACACATTAATCAGCAATAGTTTGACAAATTACCATTATAGAAGAGAAGAAATCAATTCATTCCACAACTAAACTTCACCTGATCCAAACTACTGTTACCCTCTTATCTTTTTATTTATTTCCGGAACTATATTATTGATGCAAAGACTTCTTGGAGTTTCCAAGAAGAAAAGAAACAACACCTAGATTGACTAATGCATGTGCATTGCAGTTTTTGGATTGTGTAAGAAAAAACAGGTCGTGGGCCAATGAAAAGATGCTGCTCAGACAGTTGGTTGATCCTAGTACGCCTTTCACGCAATGAATGATACCCACAATAGTTTATTGAATTTCCAAAAACGGTAAAATAAGTAATCAAGAGTGTGATCAAAGGGTGCTTTCCTTTCAAGCCCAAAGGAATTCAGTACCAACTTTTTAAATTGGCAGTCTACAATGATTTGGGACAACTTCACAGTTCACCATATGACATTTTGAACAAAATATTGACAAACTACTGAGATACCTTCCCGTTCAGCATAGCGTTTGAGTATCTCTTCGATAGGTAAATCAACTTCATTTTGTAATGCTGCCAGTTCTTCTTCCCTCTCTTCTTTAGTGATTAGAGCCTCATCTTCTTCAATAGTACGCTCATCATCTTCCTAAAGCCAACAGAAGGAGATGCTGTGTAAGTACAAGTACAATTCTAAAGTATAGAAGGTGTTAGTATCAAAAAGTGATTGTAGATTTAAAATGATGCATAAAGATTATTGCAGATGAGCTCAGACGATTATAAATATGCTACAAAATACAACCTAAACAGTCAACACGATTATAAATATCCACATACTACACACAAAATAGTAGCCACAAAAATGCAGCATGATTGCACCACTGGAAGCACCTATAAAACTACTAGATAATATAGATCTGAGAGTAAAAAAACTTACTGATTCATCACCAGACTGCAAATCATAGTCTTCATCTGCAGCTGGGAGATTAGATGGGGATCCTAGCATTATCGGTATAATCAAGAATCAGTAAAAGGTACCAACATAGCAGAATAAACCAGTTGGTAGAAAAAATTGACCACTTACCAGTATCTGATGCAGATGCTTTTTGATCAAGTTGATCACTTCGTTGATGAATGTTGCGATGGTCTTGCGTGCTGCACAAGTTTGATGATTTGCAAAGAGTCGGTGTACTGACGAGGTTTTCTGCCAGCATAGATGAGTACCTAAGAGAAGAGAACATGAAGCATCGTAGATGAAGGAGAATACAACTTAGTTCTGAAGGAGGGAATGTAAATTTTCAACATAACATCACTAGACATATAGCCAAACAATAACCAAAGAATATTATACCTTTCAGTTTGGCCAAGAAGGAATTCAAGCTGTTTATCAAGTGCTTTCTTCTTCTTCTCATCAACCTCTAATTGATGTTTGTATAACACCTGTATCAACCAGGATAACTGGATCTTTAGGGACAGCAGGTGGAGATGTCAAGCTATTAAACAGAAATTATTAGAACTGACTTACAAGCTTTTCTATTTTGGTCCAAAATTTCTTTACATCCTTGGAAATATTGAGAGCCGTTTTCCTCAACTTCTGTTCCTCTTCCTGATCAGTTTTGTAACTCAGAATTAAAAAACTAATCAAAAAATTTAATGAAATATATGATACATAAATGCAAAAGGATAAACTAAATCTCACATCTTCCTTTAACAAAAAACTCTGAAACTACATGCACCTTCGCAATTTAAGTAAGAAGATACTGTACCTTTACTCTTTTCTCCCCCCTTGTAGCCTGATCCAGCATGCCCTTGCTGGCTCTTATTGCAACTTTCTTTGCCTGAACCAGTTTCCATTTCCTCTCTGACTCAAAATCCTACATTGATATGATGGTTGGCAGAGAAAAATTCAGGAAGTTCAGACTATGATAAGAATGATGTATAATGTTGGATAAAAATATACTTAATTACCTTTGACAACCAGACCATCTCCTCCAAAACATGATCCCAATGTGTTTTAGGACGCGGAGGTTCTTTTGGAGCTTCAAGCGCCTAGGATTCAAAGGGAAAATGTCAGCATAACTAGTTAAACTACAAGGCAGAAGATTCCATCGTATCCAATAGTCGGATGCATAATAGGAGGACATTCAGTAACTATATGCTCCAACTTCTCTTATCATTCAGCAACTACTTGATCCAGAAAAAAGAAGTAAGAGGATTCATTTCTCGTATCTTTTAACATTAAGTTCCAGTTACACTAGTATACAAGTTTTAAAAAAATCGCCTACAACCCAACCCCTAAGGAAAATGAACTCTTGACCTAATACTACCAACCCCACCTAAATACCACTCAGGCAAGGCCTTTGCGGTTAAACTAGTATACAACTTTAAAATGCTGTTATTTACTGTTGGATGATAGAATACGTGCAAGTGGGTTAAGGGTAGCTATTCAATCCTATATATCGGGTAACTAGTAAACGGGTACATGGTTACATAACAATTGAATTTCCGCAAAGCAACTCTCCAATTTTTTAATGCTATATAATCACGAAAAGTATCAAACTGTGAAACTTCAAAAGGTACCAATACTTTAGAGGTATAGAAGATGACAACACCAACAAAAATAAAGTAAACAGTATCACCTTTTGCCGCTTTGCCCGTGATTCATGGTCAAGTTTAGACCTTGGACCCTTGGAGGCCATGATTATACCAAGATGCCTATCTCATTATTAAAGCTACAAGGAAAACAAAAAATAATAAGAAGCTGCACACTTGTGTTTAAACCAATTGCATATAAACATCCGAAGAGTCAATATAAACCATGTCAGTTTCAACTTAACATAAAGAAACAGCTTGCAAAATAGGAAATGTTGAAAGATAACAGGAAAAGCGGGTATTATAGTTGGTGGAAATGATTATATCTTATAAGTCTAAACGGGAAATTCAAAAGGAAGAAAAACAGGCATAAACTGGGAAATTCAAAATGGGAAATGGTACGCACACAAATCCCTAAACTGTTATCATATGAAATGAGTTTCAACATTGTCTATCATCAGGTCACTTTTAAGTAGATGAATGAACAGGGTATAGCTCTGCAAAATAGTGATCAAGCAAAAGCAAGAGCTACACACCTGTTTACAAGACCAAATAAAATTCATGGCTATTTTAATGCAAATCGTAAAGCAACTTGGTAGCTGAATGCCACAGAAAAAGGTAAAATATAGCTTAACCCCAACTATGTGTATCTAATTGCATCCCTTATCCAAGAAAATAAAATTATAAATATCAACACCAAAACCAAACAAGTACTAGTCCAAACATTATCAAAAGAGCATTATTCAAAGAGACCGAAGTATTAAGGACTCTCGCAAATGACCACAGACAAGGTGCCCCAGGCAAGAGAAGAACAAATAGAGGTCACCAGAACGTTTTCTTCTATAGCCAGAATTTTAATATAGGCCACTAAGGCATTTCATTTTGATGGGAGCATTCATATATGATAACATAAAGTAGAGGGTAAAAATACTAAAATAACATGGTAAAAATGAAAACAAAGTTCTACCATTACATAACTGATAAAGCAAAACATTCACTAAAACATCTCTAAAAGCTTTTGTTCCACTGTTACTGGTAAAAACTAGTCATTTTCACTTTCAATAGTAAATCTTATTTCTCTTTTGAGTTGTCAATTTCTAGAGGCACTCCATTACCTCCTCAAAGCTCTAATGTAGCTTTCTCACATACTATAACAACCACTGTGACTTTCAAATTCTTCCATAAATTATTCATACTCTAAAATGCAAGTTTATCCTTTAGCAATCTCAACTAGCACTCACCAGTCCAAAACTATAAAGATAGCCAATCACTACATCACAAATCTGTGGCCATAAGCTCCACATGACATTCTACGAGCCACCATTCTTTTTAACCTTCAGATTGACTATTTTTCTCTACAAAACAGAGCACTACCACCTTCAAGAAGCATAATGAAACTTATCACTAAAGAAGTTGGTTTCGACTATGTAAGTTCACATTATAACTACATGGATCTCAGTTGCAACGTAACTATTATTTGAATTAAATCTTACTCCTTAACATATGATTGCAAATCAATATCTCTCTCTCTCGTACGCCATCACCGAACCATTCTTGCATAATGTCTCTCCATTTAGTTACAGCTAAGTTCACACAAGTGCAGGGACCTAACCTTAATCTTTTCTTAACTAACGTCTCTCCACTTTATCACCATACAACTGGTTATTCTATTTAGCCGGCATTTCTCGGTCAAAGAAAATAATACAACCCCAGGTGCAAGACAAGCCCTCCAATTTTATCATGTAAGCCTACATAACTCACCCAATTCTTCACTGTTTTCATAGCATCGCCACCAAAATATAACCTAATATAACTAATCTAAATTCCTCTCTAGTACAAGCAAAATATTACCCAACCAGTACAGCTAAACTTCCCATTCCAGCCCAATAAAAGTCAAACTGCCCTTAAGCCAAAAACACAACTTCAACATTGCATGCACACATTGTTAACAAAAATGGAAGAATACCAAAACAAACAAAACTGAAAGCATGACACCCATGAACAGTTTCGCTTTTTCACGGAGGTAAAAAAAAAACTTCATCTCTAATTTCAAAATAAAACAGGAAAACCAAAAACCGCATATATACTCACACATACATACAGACCACCACAATAAATAAATTAAAAAAATCGCCAAAAACTCACCAACAAAAAAAGCTCTTCTAAACTCCAGGCGTCAAAAATCACCGGCGAAACACGAATTCCGGCCTCTATTGCGGAAATGAAAAACGAACTGCGCGCATACACAGGCTGAAAGATCTAGAAAGCGAAAGGATAGAGTGAAAAAAGGACTCTTCGCGTGGTTCTAGGGTTCTCGGAAAGGGAAAACACGAATAGGCTCGGGTTTAAGCGCCGGCCGGCTCCGACGAGCGACAGATCCGGGGAAAATACGTACAGAAATGTGTATGTATCGATCTCTCCGTGTAGGTAAAAAAAAATATATATATCCGGTGAAAATAAATTATATATTTTTAAATATATATAAATTTGATTTTTGTAGGGTTTTTTAAAAATAAATATATGAGAAAATATTTTTTGAGGAAAAAAAAAGCCAAATGAAATGAAGAGGGGTTACCGTATATATATATATATGTATCATGTATGTATGTGTATATATACATGGAGACTTTACTGTATGTATTTACTTACTGCGCCTGGGGGGCTATAGGTTTCATTTTGTTGGCGGTGATGAACGGCTGAGATTGATTCTTGGGGGTTGCGTGTTCGCTTTTTTGGGCAAGGGAAAAGATACTATGCTACATCACTTGTGATGAGTTGCCAAATAATAGATTTTGTCCACCGTTTATTTAATGAAGTATATATATATATGTATATATAAATACAAAGTGTTGAATAAATAATTATAGCATTGATAATTTTACTATAAAATTCCGATTGTGTAGTGTGGATACGGGTAATAACGAGGCCGGTACTGAAACCGAGGGTGAGCTAAAAAATAACGGGAAATCGGTTCGGGGCATCGATATTATAGTTTTTTTTCTTTTTTTTGTATTAGCAAGGATTCACTTATTTAAAGTGGTCTTTAGATAAACATTTAGCTTGTATATCTGCAAATAATGCATAACTCTAATTTTAAATAATTAGTTATAAACAAATTAATGGTTCAAAAAAAAAATATAAAGCATTTCCAACTTAAAAAAAAAATCTAAAAACTAACTTATAAGATTTATTATCAAAACAACTTTTTGATTTGGGCCTTATATATCATTTAACTGAACTAATTAGGTTCGATCTTATAAATGGGCTATATTATATTCAATTGGGCTTTCATTAAACTAATAAGTTTGATTTGGGCCTTATCTAATAATTATTCGGCTAGAGCCCATTGTTTCTTACTCAAAAATATTTATAAAAAAAATACTAGGGGCAAAAATAAAATAAAAAAATCCTACTCTCTTATTCAAATATATATGGCACGAAAATCAAAAGAAACAACAAATTAAATTACCAAATAAAGTTTAAAGTTGTAAATCAAAATCCCTTTAATTAATTTTATGTGAACATTCATTCATACACTTCTAGCCATCATTTCTTGAAAAATTCTATAAGACTCTTGCTTCTCCAACAAGAACTTCTCGTGACAATTAGCAATGAACAAATCGGCGAGCTTATCGATTTCGTTACTCGAATATTCTTCTTCGCCACCTTTCTCCTCAAGCCACTGCAAGTACTTTGAGAGCTCGTTGGAGTATTCTTGCATTCCACTAAACTCGAACGGGATCGGAATGACGGAATTCCAACCGGAGTCGGAGTAGGTTTCCAATCCTACGGGAATAGTACGAGACGAACACCAGTTGTAGTGCATCCTAAACGAGTCGAAGAAGAGCTTGTTCTTCTTCTTTTGCTTGTAGTAGTTGTGCTTGTTGAGGAGTTGGATTATAATCGATTTTGCTTTAGCGAGAGCACGTGCGATAATTCGATACATGTGGGAGAAAATGAAGGTTTGAAGTAGGGTTTTGAGTTTCATGGAACTTATAGAACAAGAAGAAGGTTTAATGGAGAAAATGTGATTGGATGAAGGGCAATTAGCCATGTGTGTGTGTGTGTGTTTGTGTGTGTGTGTTTTGTGTGACAATTTGTTTTGTTGGAGTAGATTTTATAGAGGATCTTTGGCTTATAAATTGCTACTAGTTAGTAGGTGATTTTTTTAATTAAAAATTAATTAAGAAGAAATTAATAAATTTAAAGATATAAAATATATGTAATAATAAAATATTTGGGGAGTGGGCCCGGCCCAAGTATTGCGGCTGGGCTTTAGGAATCAAAGCCAGAGTGTTGAGAAACTCGAAGAGATAAACAAGCCCGATTCTTCGCTGATATCGCAAATCCAAGTGACAATTTTATATTATATATATTAGTAAATTACGAAAACCCCTAAAGTTAGACTAAATAACGAAAAACACCCCACCTATTTGTAATTACCAAAAACCCCATGAGGTTTGTTTTCGTCTTACACCAATTCCCTTACGGTGTGACTTTTCATGGATTTTTTTTAATTCTAGGGGATAGACTTTACACAAATTTCAGATATTTTCTTTTATTTTTCACCTATTTAACATAAGGTATAATAGATTGTACGCATTTTCTGTTAAAAAAACTCGATCAACAGTTAATCAGATGGGTGTTTTGGTTATTATAGATAGGGGGTGTTTTTCATTATTTAGCCTAAGTTCAGGGGATTTTAGTAATTTACTATATATATTGCCACTGTGTATTAAAAGTGTGTGTTAGTGTGTGTGAGTGTGTGTAAAATGTTGTAATAATCTGACAAACAGCTAAAGATCAAGATCCCTTTACCTCAATTTGATTGTTTAATTTAACAATAAAAAATAAATAAGTACAAATTAATGATCCTCTCCACTATTAAAAAAATAACTAATTGATAAATTACTAGCTAATTCAGGACATTAGTCCAATTTAAACGAGCCACGCACTGGGTTAATATTATTATTATTATTACCTA